CTGTTCTCCTGTGAGGAATAGTGAAAAGTATGGTCTTTGTGCTATGATTGATTTTGTGAAAAATGTGTAGAAATTATTTATAACAAAAAATAATAAATACATTCTTATTTTATATATTTAAGATATAAAATAAATTTATTTATTATTTTATTTTATTTTATTTTGTTTATCACGTGAGTCAGTGGTGCATGAGATTTAGATACTTGTGGACTAAAGTCAACAGCAAAACATTCAGATCACCCCTTTTAACGCACTCAGTGGTGGCAAATCATCCTTTCAACCTACTTTACGTGCAGATTATCCCTCAACTCACTTGCATTGGCAAATCATTCTCTTTGTTAACATCGGCATCATCCTTTCGTTAATTTTTAATAGTCGGTTCACCCATCCCTTTTGGACGTTTGATGTGATATTTTTGTGCTGAGATGGATGCTGAAATGGAAAAGCCACCTGTACAAATACCCTAAAAATTATATGATAATTTTGATCCACGGGAAAGCTGGAAGGGTCTAGCACCACCGGATTCAATTGAGCCACCTTCTCAGCTTTAAACTTCAAATATTCCTGCACATTCACGACCTATTATTGTTAGATAACCAAATACCTTGGTTTGTGCTTGAGCTCTTGTTTGACAAGACCAATGAGTACCTTCCATGCATGAATTTGACTTTGGTTGAGCTGGCCAGAAAATTCTTTAGACATGTTGTTTCTTATTATGAACCTCCTCAAGAATTGGAAAAGCTTCTATCAAGGTACAATTCAGGAATTATACACCTGGTTGATTTTCTATGGCGTTTCTGGGATGTCTCATCAGAAAGGGGAGGAATAGACTTTGAGTTGTTGGATTATGTGACCCTTGTTCCATCTGTCACCAGACTTAAAGAGGTGGGAGTCAAATTTCAAAAAGCCGAGTCAAGAAACATCTTGAATGTAAAATTTAACAAGGGTGTCCTCAAAATCCCACCTTTGCTGATTACTCCATCGACAGAAACCATCTTCAGGAACCTCATCATCTTTGAGCAATGTAGCCTTCTTTGCACGCCAAGGGTGACAAGTTACGCCATACTCTTAGATTGCCTGGTCGACACCTCAGATGATGTGCATTTAATGACCAGAGAAGGAATTCTTGATAACAGATTAAACCCTGAGGAAACGGCTAATTTCTTGAAAAGAGTCCGTGATAACACTTTTACACAAGAGCTCTTTTATGAACGACTTCGCAAAGATGTCAACGAATATTGCGAGAAGAGATGGCCGAGATGGCGAGCTTCTTTGATCCATAACTATTTTACTAAGCCATGGGCTATCGTTTCTGTAGTTTTTGCCA